AAAGTCCTTGTAAAAGAATGCCAGGAAATGCCATGATATGACTACGGTTTACGTTTCTGGGGACCACTGCCGACCAACGTTAGTTTGGAGTTCACTTCCTCCCTAGACTACTTGGAACTACCAGCTTTTATTGACACTGTAGTGCCAAAGTTAATCACGAGAATGAATCGTGAAATTCAGTCCGAGTGGCCCAGTATGGCTCAAAGTGACTAAAAAAGACCTCAAGTGACCCTGATTAACCCCAAGTGACTCATGGACTCACCTTTAGCCAAATTATCCTAAAACGCTCCATCATTTCTTAAATTGATCGAGGATGACCGAAAGCGACCCAGAGGCAAAGTGGAATGGAATTCATTTGCCATGGATATTTCCTAAATGAAATCTTGTGGAACATGTATTACTTTATTCCCTTTTCCTCCAGGTGAAGTTCATGCTAAGGTCATGCTAAGGTGGTAAGGCCCAGGAAAAGGACTGCAACTCAACAAAAGTGGGATTCATTTTCGCGTTTAGTGACGTATTTGATGAGCCTTGTATCTGCGACTTCTGCAGGTACGAACTAAGTCTGGAAGTAGACTGGAATTTTCTTGTCTACCTTCCTTGGAAATAATACTTATAAAAGAAAAACCCGTTCCTTGAGAGTCATGATTTTTTAAAATGCCATTTTGCCCAGGACAACTTCCACCCCATACCCAGGTACAAAGAGGCGCGATTTCCATTCCTGTGAACATGGAGAAATTCTTTCTTGACCGTCTGAAGTTCACCAAGCCAAACTATCGATCACACCTCGAGGTGTATCATGCTAGACAGACACTTCATTATCGTTATATTAACTTCTGACAAGAATCAATGAGCCAAGCACAGTAAACCTCTTTGCCTTGTCTCCCCTACATTCGACTGCGTTCTCTGCGCTGTCAATCCGTGGTTAAGAAGCCCTCAAAGAATCTTTTTACCCCAAATGGAGAAGCCGCTGGGTATGAAAGCATAAAGACTACGATTCGCTCGTCTTCCAAAATCTTGGAAGAAACAAGATCACGTCTTTAATTGGATGATATTGCCAGGGCTTCCGACTGCTTGAGCTAGTGAGTGTGGTAGTTCTCACCATGGGAACTTGAGAAGGGCAGTTGTAAAAGTAGTTGCAGCAACAGGGATGAGGAAGGCGCGTGCAGTCGGGGACACCTTGGCAAGGACATGCATCACATTCCGGATTCTCCGTCGTCGTGCTCGAATGTGGCGTCGTGCAGCGCGAGCTTAGACCGCAGCAGCAGCGCGAGCTTAGACCGCAGCAGCAGCGCGAGCTTAGACCGCAGCAGCAGCGCGAGCTTAGACCGCAGCTCGTCGCGCTCGAATCTGGCGTCGTCGTCGCGCTCGGATCTGGCGTCGTGGTTGTCGCGGTCGTGGTCTCAGTGCCCGTAACTATGAGACCCAACATCACCAATAGATTACCGATATGTGAAAAGTAATATTTCGTTCTTAATGAAAATAACAATTAAGGTTACGGTTCACAGGTGTGAAACTCAACCACCCATTCTTCAGCGCGCTCGAGCAGCATAGTTTTATCGTTTAAAACGCTCGTTCCTAGATAAAAGTAAAATCCTTTATTCAAATAGAGTTTTAGCGTAGGCAAGCAGTCCCTCCCTCTTCCCCTCCCCCTCTCCCAAGGGGACGCTTGAGAGGCTCGAGAAATTGGAAACAGGTCAGTCCGTATCATGTTTTGGTCATTCTTAATAAATATGGAATTATATATTGTTTACATAAAGGCATCCATAATGGTGCTAGGTTTGCAATGTATATGGCACTAATATAAACTACTGGAAAAATACTATATTTGGAAACTGTTCAGTCCATGTAATGTCCATGAATGCACACGCATGCACGCCGAGGCCTTCCATATGGCCTGACATCTAGCCGTTCGTTCAATGAATATAAAGTTCTCGCAATATAAGTGAGGTCACGCACATCCCGCCGCTATGTCTCCCAATTCCTCAAATGCTAATGAATGGTTCTGCAGAAGCTTTCATCCTCAATTCGATAATTTCCCACGTACAAACCGAAGGAAGAAAGTCGTTCAATCAATGTATGTGCTGAGAGATGTAACTTAGCTTAAGGAGACTCCAGGTAATTCTTGCTCAATGCATGGAGGGAAAGAGGTTCCCCTTGTTAGGTGAGTCACAAAAACACCTTTCGCAATTTCGATGTCGAGTGACTTTGCCTCTGAGCCTCTGCCTCAATCTTCCATTAATAATGCATGCGGGGGCCATCTATATTGCAAATTAAGAACCGTATAAGGGACCTGTATATCTAATATATATAGACGATCGTGACTGACTGACTGACGCTAATTTTAACCATGTTCTAGAAGGGTTAGAAATCTGAAAATTGGTACACATGTACCTTAAAGTCCTTGTAAAAGAATGCCAGGAAATGCCATGATATGACTACGGTTTACGTTTCTGGGGACCACTGCCGACCAACGTTAGTTTGGAGTTCACTTCCTCCCTAGACTACTTGGAACTACCAGCTTGTATTGACACTGTAGTGCCAAAGTTAATCACGAGAATGAATCGTGAAATTCAGTCCGAGTGGCCCAGTATGGCTCAAAGTGACTAAAAAATGACCTCAAGTGACCCTGATTAACCCAAAGTGACTCATGGACTCACCTTTAGCCAAATTATCCTAAAGCGCTCCATCATTTCTTAAATTGATCGAGGATGACCGAAAGCGACCTAGAGGCAAAGTGGAATGGAATTCATTTGCCATGGATATTTCCTGAATGAAATCTTGTGGAACATGTATTACTTTATTCCCTTTTCCTCCAGGTGAAGCTCATGCTAGGGTGGTAAGGCCCAGGAAAAGGACTGCAACTCAACAAAAGTGGGATTCAATTTCGTGTTTAGTGACGTATTTGATGATGAGCCTTGTATCTGCGACTTCTGCAGGTACGAACTAAGTCTGGAAGTAGACTGGAATTTTCTTGTCTACCTTCCTTGGAAATAATACTTATAAAAGAAAAACCCGTTCCTTGAGAGTCTTTTTTAAAATGCCATTTTGCCCAGGACAACTTCCACCCCATACCCAGGTACAAAGAGGCGCGATTTCCATTCCTGTAAACATTCCTGTGAAATTCTTTCTTGACCGTCTGAAGTTCACCAAGCCAAACTATCGATCACACCTCAGGGTGTATCATGCTAGACAGGCACTTCATTGTCATTATATTAACTTCTGACAAGAATCTGAGCCAAGCGCAGTAAACCTCTTTGCCTTGTCTCCCCTACATCCGACTGCGTTCTCTGCGCTGTCACTCCGTGGTTAAGAAGCCCCCAAAGAATCTTTTCACCCCAAATGGAGAAGCCGCTGGGTGTGAAAGCATAAAGACTACGATTCGCTCGTCTCCCAAAATCTTGGAAGAAACAAGACCACGTCTTTAATTGGATGGTATTGCAAAGGCTTCCGACTGCTTGAGCTAGTGTGGTAGTTCTCACCATGGGATCTGGAGCAGGGCAGTTGTAAAAGTAGTTGCAGCAACAGGGATGAGGAACGCGCCCGTGGACACCCCGGCAAGGCCATTCATCGCATTCCGGATCCTTCGTCGTCGTCGCGCTCGTTGTCGTCGTCGTCTCGCTCGTCGTCGTCGTCGTCGTCTCGCTCGTCGTCGTCGTCGTCTCGCTCGTCGTCGTCGTCGTCTCGCTCGGACCATTCGTCGTCGTCGCGCTCGGATCTGGCGTCGTTGCTGTCGCGGTCGTGGTCTCAGTGCCCGTAACTATGGAACCCAACATCACCAATAGATTACCGATATGTGAAAAGTAATATTTCGCTCTTAATGAAAATAGCAATTAAGATTACGGTTCACAGGTGCGAAACTCAACCACCCAAGCTCCCCACGTCCTCTCCTATGGAGAAGTCTTGACAAAAGAGGAGAAACTGTGCGTTGCCCGATGCAAGGTCAATTCGATATGAATTGCCCAGATTGGGACAATAGTGGGTGGGGGGGGGGGGGTCATTTAAGATCGTGAAGCTGCTGGAAGCTATGAAATCGTTCATGTTACATTAGAACAAAAGCACAAGAAAAGATCAGGAGAATGTGCGTTGAGATTGACAAGAAGAATCGAAGGACCTTTTCTTGAATATTGAATTGGGGGGGGTTAGAACCCCCCCCCCCCCCCCCCGGGACTTCTCGGTCAGTGACACTGACAAGCATATTTAAACTTTCATTGGGAATTCCAATTTTAGCTATCCCCCTTCGAGGAAAGTCCGATGTCCGTCCACAGACCCAAGAACGCCAGACCATGATTTCTTAGGAAAGGTAAATTCCGGGTAGTGAAGCTAGGCGTACGGTTGGAGTGTCTACCTAGCCTCAATCCCCCCCCCCTACCCCCCTTGCCGATTTCCTGCCTGCGCTACTGGTGCCAGCTACGGTTAATTAATTCAGAATCGAGATCACTCAGGACATAAACCGCTGAGCCCCCTTGATACGGCCTGGAAGGGAAGCAGGGTTGTAACTATAGTAATTCTTAATTAGAGGTGCTTCTTATTTCACTTAGGCAAATTATGCTAGGCGTTACATGTTCGAGATAATAGAGAATTTCGGCGTGCTTGATTTGGAAGGCCTGGCAATTTAAATTGAAGATCGAGACCGAGGTTTGACTTGAGACTTGAGTAAAATGCACAGAGAATGATGGACTGGGAAAAGAACCAGGGGGAGGCAATTAAAAAAGAGCGAGAAAATAAGCGACTAAACACAAAGAAGCACTAGTACTATACTTGAAGAACAATGCAACTGAAAGTAAAAAGACCATCATCGTCGAGGCAGGGAATGACCGAGCAAGAAAGAAACCTGGTGGAGGCGTGGTGGTGCCTCTGGGAAGGCGCGGAGGGCATTCCACATAGAGAGGATTCTTGCAATGTCTATCTTCGATGTCGAAGTTAGTGTCCCCGTAGCACGAGAGTAGTTCCGGGTAGCCGTCCTCGCAGTGGTAGTAGAGGTAGCAGTACTTCGGGTGCGGGTAGTACGCTTCCTCATCGTCTGGACACTGGTACGGACCCGACGGAGTCGTCGTCGAGGTCATGTCTTGCCGCCCTAGACACATCCAATCGTCCACCTCCACTTTCTATCCAATGCTCTTTGTTGGTGGCGATGTGCAATTGGCACAAACAAATTTCCTTCCATTAAAGATTCTGAGTGGGCTCTTGAAAAATTATTGGAAAGATTCTATTCTAATTTTCGAATCAATTCGTTTAAATTCACATTTCGCCTTTAGCGGTAGGAAGTTTTTTTGACCGGGCATTTAATCCTATGATGTGGTGTTCGAAACTTTAGAACTCCGAACGTCTCCACTATGAGACTAAA